ATATTTACTGAGCTCCAGAAGATGAACACAAAGTTTGCCAGATTTTCCAAGATGTAATATGTTTTATCCCTAATGGATAATAGCAGGTGTCCAGCCAGAGGCTGGAAACATGATTGAACTAACTTTGTTTTACAGCGCTCTTATATTTGATTGATAAATAAAGTTGTAAAAATACAAATGGACAACAAAACTTCTGTAATTTAAATCACAAAATGTATCCAGAATGTCTGAAAATGTTGATGGAATTCTGCTGTGTGATTTATTCACATTCTAAAAAAATAGAATATTGCTTGATTTTTGGCTAGTTCTTGATAGCAATTCAAGAAAGCTTTGATTTGCTGAAAGCAAAACACACCAGCAGGTCTTTTCTGTGGGTGGCGGGTGGCGGGTAAGGGCAGCAGGTGGCGGGTGGCACGTAACAGGTGGCGGGTGACAATTCTGCCCAATTCAATTTGATTTTGAACTCCATAGCAAAGGAAATTTTTAGTTTTTCTCTTGCTTAGATGGCAAAATAACCCGGTGAAAATTTCAAAAGGCTGCTGGATGCCTGAATTTCCTGCTAATAAAACATTTTTGCTCAATCCAGACACTTTCACTTCCTTTTCATTATTTTAAAATTATTAGTTCTTAACGTTCTGTTGTTGTTGTTGCTGTTTGTTCTTTGAAAAAATTGACCAGACTTAGTGCTTTAGATAACCATAACCTAAATGTACCTTTCCCGGCGTGACCTTTACGTGACTTCTGGTCAGCTCATAAGGAATTTATTGTGAGGATAGGTTTTCCCATGGGACTGTAAATTTCTGAATGAATGGACGAAGCTGAAGATGAAGGCCACAACATGCTACGGGTGCAAGGGACACTTACAAGACAAAGCATCAGATCCACCTCTGCCTGTCCCACATGATATTTTCTTACGGCATAGGGAGTGTCCTGTATATCAGAGAAGCGGGGAAAGTAAGATCCGCATCACAAAAACTCCAGAGGCAGTGTATTACCATCTGTTGCGTTCATGTGCCCCACTAGTAACTCACGACAACATCGAAATCAAAGAGGCCACTTAGCGAAGATTGGTAGAGTCCAATAAACAGCTTCTATGGCATGAATTTGGTATGAAGTTTTAAGCTCCAGCTGTATCAGATCAACTGTAACTGCCTGCAAAGCGTTTTGGCTGCAGCTGATGGTCTAAATCATCCATATGGGTGTGGAACTTGGAGAAAACATATGTTCTTTTCAGTGCACATAATTTTTGGCTCCTTTCGAGTTAAACATCTTGTGTTATTTGCCTTTAGAGACACTTGAATTCCCAGCAAATTGTATGTTATTATAATAGCTCGTATCAAACAATCACCGTACTTACAATCACCCCACGTTTACTGTTTATGACTAAATTTGTCTGCCATTTTGAATATTCCTCAGTACAGCTGTCCTTCAGGACTCTTTTAAGAGTAAGAGTTAGAGCCTGAAAAAAGAAGTATCTGGGAGTTTTAGTGCTGAATGGCATATCGAAATACTTCTCAGTCTGATTTACACAGTTTCAAACCGCTTGAAAAAGCTTCTCATTGTACGTAAGATAGTAGAGTTTCTACAGAGTTTTTTGGGAAATTATGTTGCCAGATAATGTATAATTTTTGGGCTGAAAGTTTGCTTGCCCATTAAGGTGATGGCCTAAATATTGTTTCAAGATAGCTGTGAATGTTACGCCTCTTCTGTTACCGTATGATTAGAATTTCTGGTTATGTGAGTAATGCTGTTTCAGATTTGTTTATTATACTACTTTATTATATGGCTTTGGCTTGTGGTCGATATAACGTGCGTTCTGATCGGCTAAGAATGAGATCTGAGTGGTCATTATGCAGCTGTAATGCCCATCGGCCGATTACAGATTATGCAAATTAGGAAGAGCCCAGCTCTGAAAATTCAAGCACATTGAAACGATGAAAGCTAATTAAAAACAGTAAGAGAAAGTAAATTTAATCCGAGTACCTAAAAGTTTAAAGATTTTTCCTTAAAAAAATTAAAATCGAAGTCATTTTTGACTTACCAGCTGGACCTTGGCAGGCACTGGTGAAAAACAATCAAAGTTTACCGAGTCTGGTAAAGCTAAAATCGCTAAGTGAAAAACACCATAGGCAGATCTGTCATGCATCCTGAGCAGAACACCACGAAGAAACTTATAAGTTATCATCTTAGTCACAACAATTACTGAATATTGAACTCCGCAACAGTTCTCATCAAATAGATTCCCTCGCTTTAGCACAAGCAAGTGTAAATCAGCTTCCAGGATCATCAAATATAAACAATCGGACAGTTTCTGTCGGTAGCAGTGTTTCTGATAACTGCAGGTAGTTTTAGATGTTCACAAGGCTTGAAAGTTCATCCATAAATCCCAGAATGAAGAAGGCGAACATATGTTGTCCAAAGCGAATGCGGGGATCGAGTTATTCTGAGCAGTACATTCTGAAGCATTAGTATTTTCTTTCACCGAAAGACCGTTGGTTTGGACTATTTTGAAACACTTTCTGTCTTTTCTATATGCGTTGACATTTTGCCACAAAAGTCGGAAAAACTCCCCCATCAAGTTGTGGCACCATGATACTAAAATACCTTTTTGAGGCTGTGACAATCATTTTTCCCGTAAGGAAATGTGTGTTTTTCACGGAATACGTAAACTTCACTGACTGTGTAGCTTTGCCCTGGGTTTGAGACGATGAATGAATCGGTAAACGCACACATCGCCGGATGTAAATTGACGACTTCTGCTCGAATAATTTTTTTCTTTTCTTTAATTCATGAGCCATATAATAAACAACTCAATAACCTCGGCCTACTGTATTGACCTTGCTATCCCTCGATCAATACGGCAAGGCCTCAGTTTGAGATTTTCCTGTACCGACCTCACTCTCGGTTATTTTAATTAACTACTTTTAACTACAATTAACTACTTAAAAGTAGTTAATTGTAGACATTTTCAGGTGGTGTGTAACTTAAAATCTGTCATTGCATGCATCAAATTCATCCATGACGACGCATTGGTGGCGAGGTCTGACCAGGGATCGAGACAAAAAAGCATGTAGTGATCTGAACTATGTTTGGACATAAAACGATACACATCAACCTCCCCTTTGCCAGAGCGTGAAAATCAAAAGATGTGGAAATTGTAGGACCAGAAATCTGACGTCAAATTGTGGACAAAATGTTCATCTCGCCATCTCGTCACTTCAGCTTGTCATCTCATCATGTCAACTTGTTATCTCGTTGTGTCAACTCACCATATCTTCGTCTCAACTCGTCTTCTCGTCACGTTAAGTGTAATAACTTTTGGTCCTAAATGTAATAAAGTTACCAACTGCTGCCATACTGGTATTTAGGCAGTCTAAAAGTTGTACGTGACCAGGAGCATGTCACTCCTGATGTGACGCATTATTTGCCATAATTACATACAGTGACTAGCAGAGCAGCGGCACAAGCTTAATGCCTGCGGAACAAAATGAAAAATAAGGAGCAGGA